CTCAATTCACACATTCAAGTGTCATTCAGCAACCCTCACTCCTGTGTTATCATGGCTGATGGCACTGATCATCATATGCTGGAACACCCTTCCTTCCACTACAGATACAAGATACAATGCATATGCTAGCATTCCACACTGATGGATGGAGAGAAATTACAAAAGCACAGCTTTTGTGTGATGGGGCATTGAAATGGAGTGCCCAGAATATCGTTCCATCCTTTTGGTTATGGAAGGCAGGGCAGAATGGAAAAATGAGGGCCGCTGCTAGCCATATATACAGACAAACGTCAAATATACAGTAATCAAGTCCAGGAAAAAAATCAAGAAAAGATCTACATGCGTGAACCATGCTTAACTATGCGAAATGACTCAACCGTGAAGCCATTACACCATGAGGGGAACAATTTTTTTCCTGTGGAGTTTCAATTCACGCATGCCAGTCATGTTACAACGACAGAATGATGAACAGGCAGGTGTGAGTCAGATCCAAGTTAGCTCAGGTGAAGAGCTTCACTCTCATTAGCTCTGAGAATGGTTTACAAACTTGTTGTTGTTGTTTAGTCCAGTGTTTCCCAACCTTGTGCCTCCAGCTGTTTTTGGACTACAATTCCCATCATCCCTTGCCACTGGTCTTGCTAGTCAGGGATGATGGGAGTTGTAGTTCAAAAACAGCTGGAGGCACAAGGTTGGGAAACACTGGTTTAGTCGTTTAGTCGTGTCCGACTCTTCGTGACCCCATGGACCAGAGCACGCCAGGCACCTCTGTCCTCCACTACCTCCCGCAGTTTGGTCAAACTCATGCTGGTAACCTCGAAAACACTATCCAACCATCTCGTCCTCTGTCGCCCCCTTCTCCTTGTGCCCTCCATCTTTCCCAGCATCAGTGTCTTCTCCAGGGAGTCTTCTCTTCTCATGAGGTGGCCAAAGTACTGGTTTACAAACTAGTTAGAGGTTAAATTAGTCTCATTTGTGGCTCAAATTGCAGATTCTGAATTCCAAAGTACAGATTTATTAGGCACAGTTTAGGAGAAGGAGTAGTTATGGCATGGGCTCATGCTACAAATGCATTACATCCACCATAGGAATTAAAATTATTGTGATAACTTTTCCCCACACACTTCCTCCAGCCATGTTGTTTGGCAACATTTACCGCATGTATTTTGGCTATTGTATAGTATTTCTTCTGCCTCTGCCCACAACGGGAAAACTTAAGATATGAAGGCCCTGGGTCATGAGTGTTGTCAGCTTGGGGTGGTAGGCATGGTGGAAAACAAACTTTTGTAATCAATGCAGTAAAACATAGCCTGGGCCTATATCCCATTGAAAGCAATCATATGACTCTTAGGTTATGTGCAGGTTTCTAGTTGCATAAAGGTAGTATGATACAGCTACCATAGCTATGGGTATACATGCTCATTCTTTTTGCTCTAACTACAGTTTCTGGTTCAACGTATTTTGCTGGCTTTTTAAATGCTGTGATGCCTGTTTGACTCGAGATCACAATGTTTCTGAAAATGAGTATACATGGGGCAAGCACTTTATTGTTTTTAAGCTTTGCTTTTTCTCTGAAAAAATATCGTGACAACTATTTAAGTTCCTACTAAGTCAAATCAAGACAGAACTGCAGAATTTGCCTTGCATCTGTAGAATTTTTGCCTGGAGGTTCATTACAGAAATTCATTACAGCCAGAAATTCATGAGGTTTGCATGTAGCAAATGATGGGGAATCTTCTGCACCTATTGAATTTTTGCCTAGAAGCATTCCACCTCCAGGCCATGGTTGGAAGCTCAGGACTAAGTATGGAATCACAGAGCATAATGCATAGGACTGCACCAACCCTTTACTGCTTTCTTGGCAGGGAAGTTTAGGAGTTTGCCATAACTTACAATCTCTGTTTTTTGGACCAGAAGTGTTAGCCCTAAGCTGAAACCAAGTTTGTTTACCTCTTAATTAAAGGACGTGGGTAAATAGGAATACAGCACTGAGTAAAACTGCTGTAATTGTAGAATTGTATACTATAGTTCATAGAAGAAAATGACTAATTGTATAGATTGCAAACGAAAAGGACTAAGGATTTGTGCAATCTTCATGTGCCGATATTAGCTGTGGCAAAAGTCTTTTCAGCAGGGCTTTGAGAGGTGCTGGGCAGGGATGTGGGAGGCATGTATGGACTTTTTATTTCCTGTTGTGTCTCCGTATGCTGTCTGCTTATGTGCCTTTGCAGTTGTGTTGGCAGAGCAGGGAAATAGGCCACTGGGACACATCTATGTGTCGAGCGGTGCACTGAACCTGAAATGGATTTTGCTCAGAAGTGTGCATATACATTTGCTTGCTTTCAAGCAGCTGAGAATAATTATGTTAGTGTTCTTATTATACGTATCCCACACATACACACGCAGAGAGAGAGAGAGAGAGAGAGAGAGAGAGAGAGAGAGAGAGACTGTCACGCAATGTGGATCCACATTGCCCAAATGCTTTGTTCTTTTCTTGTTCCAATGTCGCAGAATTCTCAGAAGGGCCTCTAATGGGGTGGAAGTATTTTCTTTCTTATTCCTTTAAACCTTCCTCACTTACTACTTAAGCAATTACAGTCAGTAGAGTCCAGGTGGTAATCAGCTCAGTATGAAATTGCTTTCACACTATAATTTTGATAAATGTTCCATGGTAATTTCCACAGTAACACTAACATTAACAGCAGGGATAACTGACACCACTGACTGGCCCCAGGCCAAGTTGACCCAGTGTATTAACTTACAGCAAAGGCAAAGTGGAATGGAGTTGCTTATACACCCAGGTATATCTGGATGGCGATCCCACATACATCTGCTCCATCAGAAGCATTGAGCTCAAGGAATTTGCTCCTAAGTAAGTCCACAAAGCTTACCAGCCTTATGTTGCTCACATTTTTAGAAAAATGTTTTTTCCCCATTCCCACCAAAAACATCCAGCTTTGGTAAACAAGAAGTAAAATGCTCCATTTAAAAACTGGATGCACACATAATTATGCAGAAGCTCCACTGGACATAAGATATGCCAGGATACAAATAGAGCTCTGAGGCTGCTACTTTCCATGAATTATGGAATCTTGCCTTGCAAGAGTCTAATAATCATGTGAGTTTGGTATTAGTTTTAACAGTAGCCTTGGGCTAAGTCGTATCAGTTCAGACCAATGGCTCATCATTTCTCTCTGTTTGCTTTATTTATGCGGTTAATGATTGATTTTATGAACCTTCATAGGGAGAGAAGGCATTATAAAAATGTAAAAGTGGGAATGGAAATATTGATTAAAGAAAATTTATTCACTTTTGCCCCAGTTCAGGTGTAACAACAAACTGCTGCAGTGCTCTTCCCTCCCTTAGGGAAAGAGCTGTAGTTCAGTCTTAAAGCGTAAGCTATTGCATGCAAAATGCCCAGATGCAGTCTACAGCATCTCCAGGTAGAGCTGGAAAAGACTTGGCTGCCTGTCACTGTAGACAATATTGAACTGGATGGACCATTGGCCCATAGCTGTCAACTTACAGATTTGAAAATAAGGGACCAGCAGCCTTGAAAATAAGGGACCAGCAGCCAAAATAAGGGACCAGCAGCCTCACCTGTTCCAGGCACTCCAGTCCTCCTCTCCTCCTTAGTCTGGTCAAACTCATGCTGGTAGCTTCGAGAACACTGTCCAACCAACTTTGTAACCAGAGGTTCAACTGAATAGAATCTGAATCACATGCACCACAAGGCCTATGCAGCCTCAACTTAAGATGGCTCCCCAGCCTGGCTCTGCACTGCAAAGTTTGCAGCAGCACGTGCAACAAAATGGCGTCCAGCATTCAAAAAACCCCTCAGCTTGCATTAACTAGCCACACACAAGGCATGCAAGCTCCACCCCCATCATTCTTAGACTTCTTATTGGGGGAGCAACACAGCCAAGCAACCCAGTTGGAGCCTCCCTCCTCCCTGGCCGGCAGAGAGGGAGGGAGAGGAGCTGCTTCATTTGAAATTTAAGGGACATCATTTAAGGGACATTTAAGGGACATCCATCAATAAGGGACAGCAGCGGGACATGGCGCTGGAATAAGGGACTGTCCCTTCAAATAAGGGACACTTGACAGCTATGCATTGGCCTGATTCAGTATAAGGCAGCTTACTCAAGGTTAATTTGTGTGGAAGAGGAGCAGATTGATTGATTGTGCTTTCACTTTTGAACTAAGCACCAACTGCACCAAGACTTGGAGACTGCTTTGTTCTAACTGTGGTTAGTGAAAGTACACTGCGATAAAACCATAGCATTGACCCCACTCACAAGCAACAGAAGTAAGAAGGCATCCTTCGGCAACCTCAGGGGGCAAGCGAAAGTTTTAAAAAACTTCTCAGGAGGGCAGACAAAACTTTTCTTTCTTCTTGCCAGGAGTATTTGAAGTTGGTGGGCACAAAGGCCACTGTGTTTGCCCGCAATGTGTCGGTCATAGCATAGTGTTGTTCCAGACACATTGTTGGTGGGGGAGGGGGAGATGGCAGTCCACAATGACCACCAAATTCAGCTGCTCCTGGCTCCTTGAAGTGGCTAAGAATATTTTTGCAAATAAGATGTTGTTGTTTTTAAAGGCATTGACATCTCCACCATTACTGGCAAGCCTCCAATTTTTAGAAAACATCTGCCTCCCTCTGAAAATAGTTTGAGTGCTCCCCACATCACCGTCACTGAAAAACATACACCTGAAAACTTCAGAACATGTTTCTAATCTACAGTTCTTTAAATATAATACAACCCTATCCAAAAGACTCGGCTACTTCATCAGTAAAACAACTTTTGTGTTCTATTTTAAGGTTTAACTGATCAAGGTCACTCATTTCTCCTATGTCTTAGTTATGTTACCCTGCAGCCAATAATAGAAATGTTTGATGGCAAACTGCTTAGTGATACTCATCTCTTGATCTGTCTAAAAACTATCCAATTCCTTATTTATAGTATTCTGAGATTTTGTTATCATAGGATGTTTTCACTCACCTTATGCAGCAGCAGAGTCTCCTTGCTAAAGTCATTGGGTAACCGTGGTGTTTGAGAATGTTTTTCGTTGTTTTTCTTCCACTTCCTTGGGGCTCAAGTTGCAGTCTCTAATGTGAATTAGCCAGAGAACTGTGGTTAACAAAGGGACAAGGGTTTAAGGTTTCCTCCAAATGGCTCTCAAAGGAGGAATATTTCCACTTTTTCTTTGCCCAATCAGTTGATCCTGGGAGAAAGATCTCAGACAGTTGATATTGGTGTGTCATTCCAACTTTTATTTCCCCCTCAAAGCCAGTTCTGTTACTCATTTAAAGGTCAAATCGTTTCTGCCCTTTGGAGGGCATTCAGGGAATAGAGCAGCATCATTTTACGTCTTTGTCAAATTGTACACTTTGAAACAGGGAGTCCTTCCAAGTCCAGCAAAAATTGGTTTGGGCTTCCCCAAGCCTTCCTATAATAAAAACAATTCGGCTGTCATTGTGGACTCTCATTGGAGAATATCCAGCAGACCAAAGGCATGCTGTGGTCTACAGTCCCAAAGCAGAAACATCAGAAAAGAAATATATGTGAAGGAAAAAGTTATCTCAGGACTGCAATGATTGATTGTGGCTCCAGTGCTAATGGTGGGCACTCCAGTCAGACTTTTAATGTGTAATTCTCTTTAAATTGTTCTGCACTGATTTTTTCCCTTAATCAGCATTGATTTCAATATATTATTTGTGTGATTTTTTTTAATGCTCTTGGAGTAGAAGAGCAGGAAATATATACAGTGGTACCTCGGGTTAAGTACTTAATTCGTTCCGGAGGTCCGTACTTAACCTGAAACTGTTCTTAACCTGAAGCACCACATTAGCTAATGGGGCCTCCTGCTGCTGCCGTGCTGCCGGACCACGATTTGTGTTCTCATCCTGAAGCAAAGTTCTTAACCTGAAGCACTATTTCTGGGTTAGCGGAGTCTGTAACCTGAAGTGTATGTAACCTAAAGTGTATGTAACCCGAGGTACCACTGTAATTAGCTGAAATAACTTGATTTGTTTGTTTACATGAGGAGGTATATGCCACTTGTTCATAAAAATATCCAAGTGGTGAACAAAATATACAAATATACATAGCAAGTGTATTGAAACCATCATGAAAACAATGCGAAACCCAGCAGGCTTTAGGGATGCCAAAATTATCCTTCTCTTTTAAAAAGGTGATAGAACAGATTGCGAAAACTATCGAGGCATCTCTTTATTAGCTGCGGCCGGCAAAATTCTTGCTAACCTTTTCCTAACTATATCCGAGGCTACCCTTCCAGCTGTTCAAAGGCCACAATCTCACCCTGAGCAGGGACACTGGAGAATCCAATGGAAATGGGAGGAGAAATTGCAGATATTTGCTTATCCATCCCATGTCTAGAATGGAAATCAATCCAGCAAATATGATCATTATTTGCTGTTGCGTTCAGTCTGCAATCAATATTTAATTGATTACGTTCCCTCTGCATTTGCATTGTGTTTGCGTTGTAGTGAAGGGGTGGGATTATGTAATCACAACATAACTTTAATAAATTATGTTATTTCACCACAGTAGACTGTGAGACCAAAAACTTAAGTGTTTGATGGAAGATGATCTGCAGTGGGATGGAAAATGGCTCTGCAAGTGGCAAATACAGGGTTGAACAGAAATGATGCCTTCTTACATCCCTAGCCCTGCTTATCCACACTTCTGTTTGTTCCATGATTTCTTCTTCTTCTTCTTCTTTTGCGATTACTCGTGGCCAAGTAAGATTGTCTTCCATAAACATGGTTTTAACAATGAGTCCGTAAGTGACTATAGAGACCAATTCTGGATCCACACATCCTATCACGTGGGGACATTGGTTTCCGGGTGGGAGTTGATCATGGTGGGGGTTTGCCAAGCGTGCCTTCCTCTTAGCACGTTTCTCCCTTTCGGTCTGAGTCTGAGTGTCTTCAAAGCCCACGACACCTTTTGTAAAGGCTGTTCTCCAGTTGGAGCAATTGCATGCAAGTGTTTCCCAATTGCTGGCGTTTATACTACATTTTAAAACATTTGCCTTGAGACAGTTTTTAAACCTCTTTTGTTGACCACCAGCATTACGCTTTCCATTTTTAAGTTTGCAATAGAGTAGTTGCTTTGGAAGGCGATCATCAGGCATTCGCACAACATGACCAGTCCAACGAAGTTGATGTTGAAGAATCATTGCTTTGACACTGGTGATCTTTGCTTCTTCTAGTACACTGGTATTAGTTCGCCTGTCTTCATGTGGACGAGCCCTAAGTTAATGTGCTTTTTGCAAAGCAGCAACAAATTCTGTTGGGAAACATTTTCATCTGGAGTAAGATGATTTCATTTCCTAAAACATGTAATAGTGTTTTGTGTCTCTCCAGTGGAGGGGAAAATATTTTCAGTCAGAAGGAAACACTTTAGAAAGTTGCCTTTTGTTTTAGTTGTCACTTCTCATGCTATCCTGAATAATATAGTGGGGGCAGAAGGAGAGAAGAGAGAATCTTCCTTACAATCAAGCAAGAGCTCAAAACACAAAGGTAGTATCAAAGCGTAGTTTAGGAGCCACTGTGGGCGTACCTGAAGGGACAGAAGCTGCGAGGAACAAAAGGTATTATCAGAAAAAAGATTGCAAAGATGAGAAAGATGAGCTGAAAGAGAAGAAAGTTAGAGAATTTGAGTGATCAAGGTACTCTGAAAAAGCAATAAGCACAATAATTAGAAATTCACACACACATAAATACGTTGCAACTTACCAACAGTTGTCAGAAAACATCTACCATGCCCTTTCAGATTCTGGAAAAGATGTTTTTATTCCATTTTGTAAAGATGCCAGCCAAGAATAAATGTATTCATGACTGTAGGGATATTTTTAAGTGCTAATATCAAATATGTCACAGAAAGAGAAAAATGTGACAGCAACAAAAACAATTGAGATATATTAAAAATGTGTGTGCATATGTGTATCTACATGTAGTGTTGCAAACTCCTTACTTTCCCGAGAGGCAATAAGCTGCAGGAAGAATGCTATCTAAATATGGTTTTCTTTGGATGAATCAGCACTGGATGATTACAGTGTTTTTGTCATATTTGCTTCACTTAGAAATAAATAGCATAAGCAGAGGGAAATGGCATGTGCGCTTGTTCTATCCAGTAAATCTGCAACCCCAAACATTTCCAAGAAGAGGCACTCTGTCCCCCAAACCGTTTCTTTCATTACTTCACAGACATACACTCACACACCTTCAATGAAACCCCCGCTCTCCTTTGCTGGTGTTGGAGTGGTGTTTGGCCCCGAGTGCAAGCTTCACGTGGGAATGTGTGCATTCGCTTGTCCAATCATATGGAAGATTCTGTGTGAGAGTGGTGCATTGTGTGGGCGCGTGATGTTTACTTAGGACTCTTGGCATGAGAACATCATAAGAGGCCGGCTGGATCAGACCAAAAGCCTTTCCCGTACAGTATCCTGTTCTGACAATGGCAAACTGGCTGCTTATGGAAAGCTCAGAGGCTGGGCATGAGCAAAAGAGCATTCTCTCCACAGGCGATTCCTAGCAAATGGTATTCAGCAGCATACTGACTCCAACAGTAGAAGTGGAACATGGAATTAGCTGCCACGGCTAGTAGCATGTACAGGCAATGTGTGAACTGGCTCTAAATATTATTCCAATGGGAATTGGTCTGATTTGCTGCATTTTCATATATATGAAAGGAAAGCACCAAATATTTATATGACAAAACACTTATTTGTAAGCATGCTTTGTGCTGTGGGACTATCTTGTATCAATGGCAGGTTTTCTGCACAGCTGTATGATTATAATGGACATTTAGGGAAATGGTCAAAATCCAATGCATTTTTATGTCTATTTCTGAATACTCAAAGACTACAAAGCAAAAAGTAGGCTTATGTGCTGACTTCATTTCAATCAAGTACATTAGCCGACATCTTAAGAGTACAACAGCTAAGCCAAAGTAATAATGGACTTTGCTTGAACATTCAACTAAAACATTAATGTGAGCCTACAGACATCATGGCTTCTTTTTCCTATAGGAGGAAGAAAATGCAGAATATGCTGGTGATTCTTGAAGGGAAGATAGACCTCTTTAACTCTTTTGACCTTGGATATTTCAAACTAAAGTATACATTCTTCTGCTGAAAATTGATTTTGAAAATTATAATGAAACAGTCCTCTGGGTTTCAGGTGGTTGTGGTTCAAGTAGTGTGAAATGGTTCCTGTGATAAAAATAATAACAATAAAATGAAATTTACGCTCAGTTATGGCCAAATATTCCCATAGGATAGCTTGGGATGGGGGGGGATGAGTCAGATAAAAAACTCTCCATAATAGTTATAATTAAAATTAAGAAAAAGAGCAACAGAATCTGAAAGGACCAGGAGCACTTCCAAAGGCAGAAAAGTATTACAGCTATTTTGGCCAGCCTCTCTGAGTTCCACAACACAGCTGCCACCACTGAAAATAACAATTTTCTTTTATTGCAGGTGTGTATAAAAGCATGGTTCTCTTACAATAGTGCTGGGAAGGGTGGGGATGCTTAGCTGGCTTCCTGGCTCCAAGGTCTGCAGTTATCAAGATGGGGAATGATGCCGCAGGGGGCAAGTTGCTGCGTTCCTAGAAGTGGGACCAGCAGATTGGCTTCACTGCTGGGCTGAAACCACCAACCTCCTCAAACCTCTCCAAGCTTCTCCACACCTTCGTTTGCCCTGCCACTTTAGGGCTGAATCAGGACAAACGGCAATTAGGTTTTATGTGGGTTGTGATTTTATTCTGGTTTAGCGTTAAAGAGTGGATTTTCTAGGGGAAAGCAGCAGGGCGAAGGCAAAACCACTCAGACCCATGTTGGATAATGCAGGACAAACAGAAAACTCATTGGACCCATGGTTTCTAGGTATTTGGTAGCAAATGATGGGCTCAAAGCTCCTTCATCCCATCTCTATTTCCTCATCCTTTCTCCCTTGTTTCATTGAACCAGAGTTTTCTGTTTGCCCAGACTTGCAAAGTGTGGTTTCAGCAATCCCTCTTACAGTGGTACCTCGGGTTACATACGCTTCAGGTTACAGACGCTTCAGGTTACAGACTCCGCTAACCCAGAAATAGTACCTCGGGTTATGAACTTTGCTTCAGGATGAGAACAGAAATTGTGCGGCAGTGGCACAGCAGCAGCAGGAGGCCCCATTAGCTAAAGTGGTGCTTCAGATTAAGAACAGTTTCAGGTTAAGAATGGACCTCCGG